CGTAGTCAATAAAAAATTTTCGAAGCATCGCTAAATGTGTTCATTACTTTAGTTTGCTATGCTTAATAATGTGCGAGAGTTAAACAAAGCGGTCGGAAGCATGAATTAGCTGCTCCCACCGGCTTGCCGGCATTGATCAATAATTTATTGTTAATAATTTAACCTGCTGTAAGTTTCTTGTAAATATGGACACCTGCAGTTGGGGTTTTTACAGCTCGAAACAGACGTGTTGTGCGTATTTATTTAGTGAATGTTTTCAAAACAGAACCAAAAACGTTGCTTGATTTTGAGGTAAATATACACCATTTGTCATGGTAGAGATGTTCATCTTGTTGGTTGGCAAATCCTCGTCGGTTTTTGTCCTTTTTATTTCTGATTCGGTGTTTCCCAATTACCCCGTAATTTGCCGAGTTCTGTATAAGATTGGGATTGTTTATAATTTCCCGTCGTCGTCTAGAACTTTTGCAACGTGTGGCGATCCTACTGCTGACAGCAAAAAAACAATAGAAATCAAAGTAGTATCGACTGTTTTGAAATGCCATTATGGCGAATTTTTCTTTAAGTTTATAGTTAAGTTAAAGCCAACTCCTTAAAATACCTTAAGGAAAGGTATTGTTACTATGCAGTTATTATATCAGTCATTTAGTGAAAATGTAAGTTTATTTATTTTTCATGACAAAACTGTTTTACATATGCGCTTATAACCGTGACTTTTGCCTTGCTCCATACTTGTTCCAGAGCCCAAGAAAGGAAAATTGTGCTTTGAATTCTTAAATCTCCAGATAATCATCCATTTTAATTTGCAGAGTTGCTCTGAGAAGGAGCTAGAACGCATGCAGTCAGAAATGAATGCTGAAAGTGCGCTTAATGTTTTTAGTAAGATCGGAAGTTTTGGAAGTACCAGCCGAGGATCATTAGGAAACCCTTTATCAGAATATAGGGAGAAAAAAGGGGGAAAAAAAAGGGAGAAATACTGTAGGAAAGGATGTGAAGGCATGGGCCGGGGAGGGTAAAAACAAAAATTGTCCTCTTTGCGTGTTCACAGATGACAAACTGATTACTTATTACTATAAGACGTGTTTACTTTAGTTGGAGAGAGTGTATACATTGGTCAATATCACAGAATTCTTTCCTAACCACGGAAGACTCGGCGTTTAGCGAAAGAATCTGTTCCCGTTCAGTAAACGTGAATTCACCACTTACGTCCACGAAGCCAGTGGAGACATGTTCATAACAGTGAAGTACGGAGGTAAGGTTTGCATTTTGTCTTGAGTCTTGTGTTATGAATTGTTATTGACTACGCCAGTTAGAAACGCAAGTAAAGTTATTTCTCGTCGACAACTGCGTTTTTGAGTATAGTCGTAGTTTGATGCCTGGTAACGATAAATAGGTTGGTTTCCTTGTCGGTTGTACAGAGAGAGGTCTTGAGATTGCGGGACGTTCCCGCGTTATTTCTGTGAACTATTTGAGCATGCATTCAATATATTGTCGTAAAGACAGTCGAAATTCCTTTACTAATTAAGCGGAATGGCGGATTCGAAGCTTAATAATCGGATAAGTTAATCAACGTACTACGATTGATTAACCGGAATAAACTTCAATTTAGGAAGCATTTTGAAACCGGATCTCTTACGGGGACCCTGAGACACCCACAACTTGAAGGTTTCCTAACTTCAAGTGATAACTTCAAGTGATACAACTGGAGCAGATGGCCTATACAGCATTGTCTATATAGTGTCGGTGGCTGTACATGTATTTATGGATTAACAACAGTTTTATGCGACTTTCCCACAAAAATAAACTATACCCTTTAGACAATTCGATGGCAGTAAGAGTTGGTCTTACTCCTCGGCGACTAGATGGCAAGGTACTCGTAGGATCTGTATGTGGATGAGAATTACATTCTTAGGTTGATCGATACATTTTCTTACTGTTTATTGTTTACTTAATCTAGATCACGAAGAGGCCCTTTTCAATCCTAATTGCCGCATTCTTCATTTGTTAGAAGACATTAGAAGGCGATGCAACTGTCCAGAAAACGGTTTGTTTTCTCATTATTGGTTAGCGTACGCGAAGAGAGTTCGAGTCTGAACAGTTTTTTTTCAACTTAGCGTGCGTCAACTTCTTTATAATGGTGTTTTTACAATAGTTTTCCTTCCATTTTTTTTTCTTTGTATAGCTGTTATCGACTTGTCGGATCTGCGAGGCGCGGTCAAAAATCTCACTGATCACCAGTCTTCCAACGCCAGTGAATTCCTCAACGAAAGGGAAACATTTATACTGGTGCGAGTTGAAAGTAAGACATGTATTTTCGAATTTGATCTAGAAAATGTTTACATTTCTTGAGTGATTATTCAGTAAGATTACTATAATCTTGAGGAAACTGTGTTCATTAGCTTTATCATTTTGAATAGTGCATCTTTTTTACTCGTTCCTGATATTTTTTTTTAGCCAAATGTTAGTACTGACCAGTCAACAAAGTTTATGTCAGCAGTAGTATTATATTCATACAAAAAGCAAAGGCAAAGAATGATAGATAATAATGATAGAATTTAGCGAAATAGTATGGAACCGTTTTTTCGAGAGGTTTGAGGTAGTTGTTATAATAGTTAATATCTATCCCAGATTTTACTTAAAATGCAGGGGCGGATCTAGGTTTTTTTAGGAGGGGGTGTATTCGTCTCTTGCTCTTCTTCAACACCAATAAACCACATAGTTTTTTTTTGCAGAAAACCAGTTTTATTAGAAAACCGCAGGTCATCTCGGGGGGGGGGGGGCGCACCCCTGCACCCTCCCCCTAGATCCGCCCCTGAAATGATTATTACTGCCCCCCTTCTTTTTCCAGAAAACCCAACAGAAGGGCGCGACTTTCCATTGTACACACCTCTCCTAGATGATGAGGATGTACTGACAACAGATTTCTTAGGTGAGCAAAAGCAAATCTTTGATGACGTCAATGCTTTTTGGTTGTTGTTGTAATTTAGCAACTTTTATTAATTCTTCACACTTAAATAATGAATACAAAAACTAAAAATTACTTAAAACCGCCACAGAGCCGCAAAACACAAAATATCCAAACATAGTGACGTCATTGTTGACATTTAGTTTCTTGAGCGTGCAAATTTCTTGGAAAAGCGAAATAGCTAACTAAAATTGACACTAAACGAGTTGAAAGCAAGGGCTTGTTAAACATCGTAGCCTGTGCAATCTTTAGCCCTTTGCATGTAATAGTTAAAGAAATCACCTGGCAAATGAGCCCATACCCTCTTAAAATTAAATGATTCAAAATTTTAAATAAGGTTTCGAGAGAGCATTATGTTATCTCAGTATAAGTGGCTGCAAAAGCGATAGCATTAAACAGTTCAGATTTACCGCTTATTGTTTATCTTTTACAGTAGTCACAGGCAATATCCACTTGTTTTGGAACAACTGTTTTGTATTTATTACAGAAAGTTTACGACGGACGCCCACAGACACATTGGAAATAAGCGGCAGAACCTCTCGTGGCATGCGTCGAAGTAGCATGAAACCAGGTGTCAAGCATAAAATGTCTGCGAATTCCGAAAAACTCAGTCCAACGGGAAATAATAACAATGGAAATAAACTTCCGGCGAGTAGACGAAAATCAAGCTCTAATCGGAGGAGTTAGATTGATTTCGTATTTATGCATCTTTCTGGATTTCTTTTGTCCACAGTGCGTGCTCTCACTGACTACTTCGGACTCACACGACATCTAACAACAAACCTTTTTCCCGCCAAAAAACCCCAAGGGGCTTTATTGCAAAAGCTATGACGTCAGAGATAAACTTCGATTCGAAGAAAGTTTGCCACCATTAATCAGTCTTTTTAAGTTTTTGCGACGACGACTATATGGCCTTGTAAGATATGAATGCTTTTGTATAAAAACCTCCTTTTGCATATACGTTGGAATTTGTCGTCTCGCATTGTTAGTTGCTTTACAATGTAAACGGAAATAACATACATTTACTTGGTTTTACTTATTTATTAATTAAGAGTTCTTGTATATTAACTTGACTTCGTTGTTAAATTAAAGCTTTTGTATTCACACAAAGACAAAGGTGTTTAGGAAATTAAAGAGAGACTACAAGAACAACGAACACTTAACCTCAAAGACGGTCACTGTAAAAGTAAATTGATTTTAAGCATTCCACCCAGATCTCTTGAGATAGGTGATGCCACCTCCATCAGCTAACTTAGCAGTATATAGTGAACTTTAAATCATTTGGTTCAATTTGACGTCGAAAAATATAGGATAAAAATTGGCCTTTCTCGTACAAAAGCACAGTGTACCCGTGAATCAGTGATAACTCATTTACATTTGACGCTTTTACGCTATTTACAGATGAAGGTTAAAGGTATTTTTCAGTAGTTTTTCATGGAACACATAAATCCTCAGATAACGGACTTATTGACAGTGGTTAAACCCAGTAATATACGACTGTGATTCTCCCACCGACTCACATACCTTTTATAACACAAATTTATCAGGTGACATAAATAACGAAAATCAATCATTATTAAACGCACTGATAACAGGGGTTGACATCGGCTTTATTTTCATCACAGAAACCATTGCTGCTCCAAAGAAGTCCTTTTACAAACACTAAAAACCCACTTTGACCAGCCGTAGGTAATTGACGTAAAACAAAAGAAGAAAATAATTAATTGTCAGTAAAAAAAAAATAGCTTCGGATATTAAATTTGAAGGCTTTGTCTCCAAAGAAGTATCGGGATTTGAACGCAGGTAGTTTTAAAACAAATTATAACAGACAAAATAATGCTCTTAACACCTCTTAGAGAAGAGTAAGCATGTTTTGGGATTGGTAGCTTTTGTACGTTAGGACAAGTCCGCTAAAAATGATATTTTTATATTACTGTGTAATAACGGTGTTGATAAGCCTTCTATTATTGTTGTCAACAAACAAATTATAAACACGTTTAGGTCTTGCTGGACCATGAAATTTACTGCAAGTCAATAAGCTCTTTGGGATAAATGTTTTGTTTTGACTTTCAGAAACCGTTTACGCTTGGTCACTTGTGTGAAATAATAACTTAATTATTGGAGTAAATTTTCTTACTGTTTATTGTTTACTTAATCTAGATCACGAAGAGGCCCTTTTCAATCCTAATTGCCGCATTCTTCATTTGTTAGAAGACATTAGAAGGCGATGCAACTGTCCAGAAAACGGTTTGTTTTCTCATTATTGGTTAGCGTACGCGAAGAGAGTTCGAGTCTGAACAGTTTTTTTTCAACTTAGCGTGCGTCAACTTCTTTATAATGGTGTTTTTACAATAGTTTTCCTTCCATTTTTTTTTCTTTGTATAGCTGTTATCGACTTGTCGGATCTGCGAGGCGCGGTCAAAAATCTCACTGATCACCAGTCTTCCAACGCCAGTGAATTCCTCAACGAAAGGGAAACATTTATACTGGTGCGAGTTGAAAGTAAGACATGTATTTTCGAATTTGATCTAGAAAATGTTTACATTTCTTGAGTGATTATTCAGTAAGATTACTATAATCTTGAGGAAACTGTGTTCATTAGCTTTATCATTTTGAATAGTGCATCTTTTTTACTCGTTCCTGATATTTTTTTTTAGCCAAATGTTAGTACTGACCAGTCAACAAAGTTTATGTCAGCAGTAGTATTATATTCATACAAAAAGCAAAGGCAAAGAATGATAGATAATAATGATAGAATTTAGCGAAATAGTATGGAACCGTTTTTTCGAGAGGTTTGAGGTAGTTGTTATAATAGTTAATATCTATCCCAGATTTTACTTAAAATGCAGGGGCGGATCTAGGTTTTTTTAGGAGGGGGTGTATTCGTCTCTTGCTCTTCTTCAACACCAATAAACCACATAGTTTTTTTTTGCAGAAAACCAGTTTTATTAGAAAACCGCAGGTCATCTCGGGGGGGGGGGGGGGCACCCCTGCACCCTCCCCCTAGATCCGCCCCTGAAATGATTTTTACTGCCCCCTTTTTTTTTCCAGAAAACCCAACAGAGGGGCGGGCCTTTCCTTTTTACCCCCTTCTCTTGGAGGGTGGGGGTGTATTGAACACAGATTTCTTAGGTGGCAAAAAGAAAATTTT